ATGATTAGTTACTGAGATATCAGTGGAAAAACCGAAAATGACTAATAATTATGCAAATTAGGTAATTAGTATCACGGATTATTACCAAAAACTAATCAAAACCTAGCATTAGTTCAGAGCATCTATGTACCAAGTTTCATCAAAATCCAATGAGTGGTTGTTTAGATATCAGTGGAACAGTCATGGAACCACTAAAAAATAGCTAATTATCATACAAATTAGGTAATTAATATGCACGGATTTTTACCAAAAACTAATCAAATCTGCGCATATGTTCAGAGCATCTATGTACCAAGTTTCATCAAAATCCAATGAGTGGTTCTTTAGATATCAGTGGAACAGTCATACAACAGCTAAAAATTAGCTAATTATCATGCAAATTAGGTAATTAACGAGCATGGATTTTTACCGAAACCTAATCAAATCTGCGCATTGGCCCAGAGCATCTATGCACCAAGTTTCATCAAAAACCGATGTATGGTTCTTGAGATAGCAGTGGAACAGTCGGACACACATACACACATACACACACACACACGCACACACACACACACACACATACAGACACACTAACTGCAAAGACTCCCATTTTGTGCTTCGCACATGGGAGTCAAAAATGGAGAATCAACAGCTTTTAGGGGGAAAAATCACTGTTTTTTTGTTGAAATCAGTGTTGACATTTTAACATCGTGGTAATTCACTTCCACATTACGTTGAAAAATCCCTTTAACATGACATGGCGTGACCTGTTAGGTCAAGGGAAGTTGTTTCAGGTCAAATCATGATGAAAAACATCATGGCAGAAATTGCGTATGATAGAAACATTCCCCAACAAAGATAATGATAAAGATCTTGCTTTCAACTGTTTTCCCCCCGTAAATTCAGACGATATGTAAACTGTATTGCAATAAACTGTGTGTATTTTTATGAACATGTTTGTTTCTTCATTGTAAAAAGTGTTGTGGAAATCAATGACGACTCGTTTCGCATTTTTTTCCTCCAAAAGACGTAGTATTTTCCCCCAGAGACCGGCACTGTGAACAAAAAATGTAATTTGGATAACTTTTCGTGGGTCTGAAGATGGTTACAATTTTAAACCCCCAACAAAATATCTTTTATGACGTGATCCTTGACTATAAGCCCACCACCCTAATTTTTCCTAATTTGACATTTTCAGACACAGTACAAGTACAGTAGTTTCTCAAATGTTATAGAATCAACCTTGTTTACTGTCCAGAAATCAAAACTGGTAAAACTTGAAAAACATAGCACCCATCAAAACTCAAATACTTTGACATTATCGTACTCGACCGCGTTAGCGCCCATGCCCGGGCAAGCGCCCATCCCCCACTTTTGCGCAATTTTTATATTTGGGGTCACATTCGGCAAAGCGCCCACCCCTTCAAAATGCAACTAATTTAAAACTTGGTCTTGCGTAACGATTCTTGGTAATCGTTTTTATATGATACAGAGATATCGACCGCTGTGAACATGTTGTGAATGCGTAGAACACGGTAACCGTGCGTAAACTACACTTTGACAATGACCTGTTTATACAAGTAAAATGCGGTAAATATTTCATGCCATATTCAGTTTATCTCTCAAAAATGGCTAGTTACTAGTTTTTTGGAAAAACCATGTCGTTTATTCGCTGAAATCG